TTTTTGGTCTTTTTGAGACAGGGTCTCCCTGTAGCCCCAGCTAACCTGGAACTCGCTATGTAGATCAGGCAGGCCTCGAACTCACAGAGATCTGCCTGCCTCTGCCTCCCAAGTGCTGGGATTAAAGGCGTGTGCCACCACCTGGCCCTTTATTTATCTATTTTAAGACAAGGCTCATGTAGTCCAGGCTGGGCCTAAACTCATGATCCTCCTTTGTCTACTTCCCTAATACTGAGATTACAGATGGCTTCATTGCCCTCCTCTTTGATAGAATTGACTTTTCTTCATCAGTTGGTGCAAAAGAGTGTTTATTAGTAGTTCTCAGTTCTAACAGTTCAGAATATGGAGAGAGTGTGGCCCCTTTTGTAATACCACCAATGAAGCATGGAACCAAATGTGTAGTGTATAAGTGTACATGCCCCACAGATAATGAATGCACACCTAGGCAAGAGCACACAGGCACATGTACATGCACATGTACATATACAAAAGTGCACACAGACATTTGCATACATAAAGATGCACGTGCACACATAGACCTATACACGTGAACACACAGGCACACAGACATAAACATATGTGCACACAAACAGATGTAGCCACACTCAGGCACATGGGTGCACACACATACATATAGACGCACAGACAGGAGGCATACACAGGTGATGTAGCCCTGGGCTGCACTCCTTAGTAGAGTGGTGCTGTGGAAGAAGGGAGAACACTGTGGACTCTGAGGTATACCAAGAGGCCTGATACACACAGATGTGGGTTCAGGCAAGCTGGGGCATAGTGGAAGGGGGCAAAGCCTTGAGGAGCACCAGAAGGCCCCTAGGGAACTTGACTTGGGAACAGGGAACCTTGAGGAGGAAAAGCTATGGCTGATGTTGAATGGCTTCTGGTGTCAGGGAGCCAGTCTTCTCTGGACTCCACACATGTGTGGAAGCTTCAGGAAGGCCAGAGGTAGGGAGGGAGCAGCTTGGAAAGGAAAGGGGTTCTGGGGGTGGAGAGTCCCAGCCCTTGGGCTAGAGACTGAAGGAGGCCTCTTGGTGATCTGTCCCTTGCGTGACTTTCAGCACAGTCAGGAGAGCCACCAGGTCCAGCCTGAGCTGAGTGACCAGGTTTGATACCAGAGGGAGGGTCAGAGCCTGAATCCTGCCAACCATAACAAGATGGGCTTGACTGCCTGTTCTCAAAAGACCAATTAAAGAGACAATAATAGAAAGCAAAAAGTAGATTTATTCTATGTGGCCACACTAGGAGCACAGAGTCCAGTGACACCCCCCCCCCCAACCCACAAGTCCCTTAGGAGTCCTGACCTGAGGTTTAGGTTGAAATAGACATGGCTAAGTCAAGGTGTGGTCCTGCCCACAGTCATCACCTTGGCCTGCCTCAGGGTAGGCTGACAGGGTGTCAGAACTGTGTGAAACCTCTTTCCAGAGGCAAGCTCCCCTTCTGGCTGACATCAGGCCTCAGCCTTTCCCTTTTGCCAGCCTGAGACTCTTGGGGGAAATCCCAATTTCTTGGGGGGTCTGTTGTCTTACTAGTCTAAAAGCTGACGGGAGGGGCACACCTGTTTCTGCTTAGAATATCTACATCACAGTTACAGTTGGGAAACACCTGTTCTCCCTGCAGTCTGATCTTTCTTGAAGGGGTCAGCCCATGACCAGGTACACTGGGTTTGGTTCAAACTTTGCTGGGCTCTCAGGAGGGTTTTCCTTTCCTGGGCCTCAGTTTTCTCGTCCGCAGAATGAGTAAATCATGCCACCGAGAGCCAGCCTGTGGGCTGAGGCCATACAGCTTGAGTGTGGCTTGCCACTGACTGAGACCCTATAAACCCCCCAAGAAATACATGCCACTGGTCTTTCCCAGGCCTTGGCTTCCTCTACCAGCTCCATGGCCTCTGGGGAGACTTGGCAATGGGGAGGCTGTGCAGATAGACTCCTGATGAAAGATATTGATCTGAGCAGCTCTCTGAGTCTAGACCACAGCATGAGGGAGTGGGGTACAGCCGCCTCTGAGGCTCCAGCTTTTATGGGGCCTGGAAAATCATCTCTTGGCTATCAGGACAGGATGTCCAGGCTCTGAGTCCTCCCTCATTCTCTGCTCCCTCCCTCCTAAGCTCCACAGG